CTACATGTGCTGTGAAAGTGCAGTTGCTCTAGACCTGAAGGGAACATGCAAGGAAAATAAAAAAAAAAACACTATGATTGGATGAAAGGAATCAGCAGAGCTTCGCCTCATTTCAGAGCTTCCCCAAAGGCACTTGCGGTGCACAGTATATTTACCTTTAGTAAATCAACTCCCATGGGTTCAGAAAATGGATGGACTATCCGTCTACTGGACATATATATGGGAAGGAGGGAAGGGCTACACCTGCTTAGGGGGTGGGAGCAAAAGGTACAAAATCTTTGTGTGAGCGTTTCCTTGCCCTTTAACCAGTTCCCAACCGCTCTAAAGCTGAAGGGCGGCTACAGCGCGGTTGTGTAATCCTGGGACGACATCCTACAGACACAGCAGATCATGGGGTACAGTAATCGTCCAATCAAGCCGGCCTTTTACCGCGTGATCAGCTTTGTCCAATGACACAGCGATCACCGGGTAAATGCAGTTGCCGGTTCAGCTGCACTTTCCTCAGACTGTCTCAGTGTGAGGAAAGTACTGCCGAGAACCAGCAACTGTCAGTGAAGGGATTGGCACCGATCATCAGGGCACCGATGATCAGTGTCTCCTGATGATCAGTGCCCAGCAGTGCTACCCACCTGTGCCCATCAGTGCCATCCACCTGTATCCATCAGTACCACCCTCCTGTGCCCAGCAGTGCCCTCCCACATGCCCATCAGTGCCACCCACCTGTGCCCATCAGTGTCACCCACCTGTGCCCAGCAGTGCCACCCATCAGTGCTGCCTATCAGTGCAGCATCATCAGTACCAGCTTATCAGTGCTGCCTATCAGTGCCCATCAGTGCTGCCTATCCATTCCACCTCATCAGTGCCCATCAGTGCTACCTATCCATGCCCATCAGTGCTGCCTATCTGTGCACATCAGTGCTGCCTATCAGTGCAGCCTCATCAACGCATGTCAATGAAAGATAAAAATTACCTGTTTGCAAAATTTTATAATAGATACAAAGAAAAACTTTTCTGTTTTCAAATTTTTTGCTCTTTTTTTGTTTATAGCGCAAAAAATAAAAACCCAGTGGTGATTAAACACCACCAAAAGAAAGCTCTATTTGTGCTGAGACACAGCAGCAGGAACCACTAGCTCCCACTGATGTAAATCACAGCCAGTGAGGGGAGAGCAGGGGGCAGGCCTGAGCTTCAGATCTGCATGTCTTATGGCCGTATAGAGCAGGGCTCGAGAACAAGCACGCACCAGTGCCCCCATAGCAAGCAGCTATGGGGACACAACTATGGGGGACCCGAGAAGAGGAAGAGAGACTGGAGAAGAGAAAAAATAGGGCTTCTCTGTGCAAAACTATTGCACAGTGCAGGTAATAGGACTTAAGAATAATCGGCTGAATTTCGCCCTGTTAGTGGGTCAATGGCACCAGCTGATTTTCGTGCTTCCTCCCCTTTTCGAAGATTAGGCATGTTGAAAATTCGTGAAAAACAACCAATTTTCGAATCAATGATGGTCAAATCGTACGATAATTTTTTCGAAAAAAATACATGCATGAGCATGGAAGGAACAGAAGTTTCGCCTGTTATATGGGGTGAAATTTATGACTTGGTCGACCAATTTTCAAAATCATTGATGGCACTAACGGATTACAGAGCAAAGGACGTTTTCGATTTTCGGACGAAAAATCGTTTGGAATATGAACCATGTATGGCCTGCATTATTAAAAAAACAAAACAAAACAAAAACAAACCTTTAACCACTTGCCCTCCAGAGGATTTACCCCCCTTCCTGAGCAGGCAATTTTTTGTGATACAGTACAACGTTACTTTAACAACTGCGCGGTCATGCCATGCTGTACATAAATAAAATGTATTTCCTTTTCCCACAGATAAAGTTTTCTTTCGGGTGGTATTTGATCATCTGTGTGTTTTTTTATTTTTTTGCATTATAAACAAACAAAGACCAACAATTTTGAAGAAAAAAAAACAACATTTTTGACTTTTTGCTATAAAACATATCCAGTAAAAAAATTTAAAAAAATCAAATTTCTTCATAAATTTATACCAAAATGTATTCTGCTACATGTCTTTGCTAGAAAAAAAAACTCCCAATACGTGTAAATTAATTAGTTTACGTGAAAGTTATAGCGTCTACAAATGGAGGTAGATATACTGGAATTTTTATTATGATTTTATTTTATACTAGTAATGGCAGCGATCAGCGACTTATAGCGGGACTGCAGGACTGACGCAGGCTTTCTGACACTGGGTGAGAATTGACTAACTACTACTAGTTAGTAGTTAGTCAATTAGTTAATGCAAATCACATATATATACACGTAATTTTGCGCAGCTCTGCTGCGCTGTAGCAGTACCTCTGCTATAGGGTGGCCATTCACAAAGTGCAGCGCTTCTCGTACATGCTCAGTGGGCACCTGACTGTGAAGCCCAAAGCTGTCACAGCCGGGTGCTCACACTGAAGATGCCGGCGCCAGGGAGAAAAGATGGCTGGTGAAACCAGCTGTGGTGAGGACACCAGTGGACCGTGGGACAGGTAAGTGGCTGTATTTTAAAAGTCAGCAGCTACAGTTTTTGTAGCTGCTGACATTTTTTTTTCTTCTTCAGGGAGAAACTCAGCTTTAACTGGGATTGAGCAGTGTTTTCATTAGCTGTGGAAAAGTACTGAATGGTTACAAAACTGTTATATGATTGTGGATGAATCCAAAAACTTATCTTTTGTGACATAGCTAAACTGTAACTAGTTCAGTAACTATATTTAAAAAATTAATTTACTTGTTTGAATATGAATTAAATGTTAAAGCCTATCTGAACCAAAAAGCAAAAATGTAATATGTTGCAGCTTACCAATCAATAGATTTGGTGGCTGTAATAGTTTTCTTCTTTTAGACTTGTTTATTTTTCCCTGGTGAATCGGCCAGGAACACACTTCCTGTCTTAGGGTGGCTACATTCACTCATCCATTCTATCTATGGAGGAGCAGCAGAGGCACCTTTGCTGAGTAGCATAGAGGCTTGAGAAAGAGGTTGTACTGCCTCGAAACAAGTATCCACGACTCTTCTGCACACCCCTGACATCTGACATCATCCAGGAACATTCCCATGCCATCAAATCGGCTCTGGTGTTACTGTAGCTATCTATGCTGCTTGCGGCTCTGCACTACATGATTCCAGATCACTGCTGCTTGACTTGAGTCAATGAGATGACAATTGTAAGCACCCTAGTCAGTGGTAAATGGTTTACTGGTTTATCTCAATACTGTAACTGCCAATTTGTCTGGACAGCTTGTTCTGTTAAAGGAAGTAGAAAAAGAACAAACCAACTGGCTGGATCACCAAGTAATAAGCTATGTTATGGGGGGGGGGGTCTTAGAAAAACAGAAACTGTGGTAATGCTAGTGACAGACTGCATGATATGTGTCATGTTTTTTACCACTTCCCTTCTTAGGCTGCTTATAATTGGTTGAGTCAATTATACCAGGATCATGGTTGAGGATACAAGACAATTCCCTACAAGTAAAAGTAATCCATGCAGCTATAGAGCCGCTGGATTGATGACGTCAGTTTCAGTCTCATGTAAACAAGCCGTTAACAACTTATGCAGTTTGATCAGATGTTTTGGAGGCCAGAGGAGACCCAAATCTCTCAAAAAAGAGGACCTGTCACGGCCCATGCTATTACAAGGATGTTGTTCATCACTTAAAGTTGACCCCCCAAAAGTAATTGGTTCGGTGTTAAAAAAAAATAAAAAAAATTGTAAAGCACACCGTCCCCCATTTTCACACACAAATGCGCACGCAGTTATTACACCACACGTGTGAGGTATCATCACAAACATCAATGTGAAAGCAATTATTTTAGCATTAGACCGTCCATGTAACTCTAAAAGGGTAACCTGTGAAGGCTTTTAAAGAGTTGCCTATAGAGATTTTTAGGTATCATTGTTTGGCACTGTTCCATGGGCGTACACAATTTCAAAGCATGACATGTTAGATATCTATTTACTCATATCATAACATCATCTTTTAAATTTTACCAAAAATTGGGTATTATATAGTGTTTTTGTGCATTAAAATTCATTTAAGTGTATTTTTTCAATCAACTTGTGTTTGAAAAGCCGCTGAGCAAATATTGTGCGAAATACAAATATGCAACACCCAGCATTTTATTCTCAAGGACCTCTGATTAAAATCATACATAACGTTTAGGCATTCCAAGTAGTTTTCGAGCAAAAAAATGCCAATTTTTACATGTAGGAGAGGAATGTCAGAATTGGCCCAGACTGAAATTGGTCAAGTATGTGTAAATACTTTTTATGAAAACACCCAGATCCACGTGCAAGTGTTTCTAATAGGGGCTGTTTTAACAGAACTTTTTTTATCAGGATTAGTCTTGAGCTATGTGTCTCGTAGGTCGCACTTACCACAATAGCTTTCCTATTCCAGTTACTATTCCTGTTTCTGAGATTTTCAGCCAATTCTCAACAACTTTTATAATGGACATTTTTGTGGAGTACATATAATTCTAAGAGCAATGTGTTACATTTTATATTGATATGATTATAGAGGAGAGAAAGGTGTTAAAGAAAAAAAAAATAAGTGGCAGCCTCCTGGAATACTAGCCATCTATGCTACAACCGAAGTGTCGGTTTCACAAATGCAAACATAACCTTCCCTAAAACGGTTATATGTTAGCAAAGATTTCTTTCATATTTCATGTTGCACTTTAGTTCAAATGGAAGATTCAAAGCACTTGTTTTCCCCATTTCTGTGAGGCTGATAGATAGTAGACAGTAGATAGTGGAAAATGTGCATGTAACCTTCATAGCATTTGCTGATCTCTTTCAGGTATGGCAGATAATACATCTCCACTATAAAAGAAGTCATATGGGATAAGATGGTGATGATGGAGAATCACACGTTGGAAGACTTAGATATGTAACTTGATTTCCACTACAGTAGTTCTGTTCCAACAAGTAGAACAACCACAAAAATGTCATCTTACCAAGGAGGTGTGGTGCGGAGCATTCGGCCTTTTAAGTCCAGTGAGCAGTACCTGTATGCCATGAAAGAGGACTTAGCTGAGTGGCTCAAGGATCTTTACAACCTGGAAATATATGTAGATAACTTCTTTGAAGCCCTGGAAAATGGCTCTGTCATTTGTTACCATGCCAATAATGTAACAGATGTTGCTCGTGACTTTGCTGTGGAATACCCTGACTTGGCAAAGAAACTTCGGCTTCCAAAAACAGGAGTAACATTCAATGCAATGGCTCAACCTGGGACCTTCCTGGCAAGAGATAATGTATCCAACTTCATCCAATGGTGCAGGAAGGAAATGGACATAAAAGGTAAAAAGTACTGGTTGTGTAAATACATCCAAGTACTCAATAGGTAGTTTAAAATGGCTGCAATTTTTTATCTGCAGACTTAACTGACTTCCAAAATGCAAAACTATGTGTAGTTTTTAAAAGAGGTACAAATATAAGGTTACATTATTGAAGGCATCCTACACCTTTTTTTCCCAAAGGGTAAATTGGGCTGATCGTGTCTCTAGGCCTTAATCCTGAAAGCTTTCATTTTGGTCTGAAATACCTGTGACCAAATTGTTCACAATGAGACTGGGGCAGCTGTCTAGTTTATTTGGCTGAATCATTTTGCATCCATATGAATTTAAAGAAAATCCCATAAACTGGATGACCTCAATGAGTCTTTTTCAACCCAACTTTGAATTTGTGGCCAATGTTAGTGCCATGCCTGCGGAAATTATTATTTCTGTTCACAAATTATTTCTTATTGATAGAGGCTCTAACCCTTTCCACCCCATCCAAAACTAAAATGACAGTGTTTTTGTTGGACATAAACATAAGTATGTTTTAGGTACACTTTAGTCAGAACTGAAATTTCCCAGCCATCCCTAGACAAGAAATTATTAGGTGGTCTAACGCTCAAGCATTAGGGTGAATTGACCTTTATGGTCATAAACATTTGTGACCTAGGAATAGCAAATACTATTTCATAAATGCACATTGCATTAGGTTCCATTCACACAATGGAGTTTCAAATCACGGGCGGAATTGCCGCGATTCTGCCCACGATTTGAAATTGTGCCGTAAAACTGTGGAAATGCACATTTGCGAGTTCAGGTGCGGGGCATTTTTTACAGTGATCACGGCGCATTTTTCCACGTGACAAATGCAAACAAAATTGCTGGATGAGCAACGTCCAAAAACGGTTATGGAACCTTTTTGGGTGTCATGCATTCCATCATTTTGTTTGCACAATCGTTTGATTTCCGAGTTTGATTTACACGCTTCTGATAGTACTCAGAATCTCTTATTACAATACCCCACTGAAACTAACAATTCAATATAGCAGTCATATTTCATAAACCCTCCTGATAAAAGATACAAATAAACCATAAACAAATCTTCAGTTCAATACAGTGCTATGTGAATAACGACCCTCCTATTTTTAGCTTCTTTTAAAGTGGAACTAAACGCATCGATTTAACAGTTTAAAAAAATAGTTACATTCTAGGCACGTGCCCGGAGTGTAACTGTCACATTGGTTGTCCTCTCAACCAAAGTGTCAAACCATCAAATGGCTGGTGTCCTAATTGATCACTTGTGTTGCACCAGGGCAGCTGCAGATCAAACAGAGGCCAAAATGGCAGCTTCCTTGGCTGAAAAGGATAGGAGGGTTTAGTTCCGTTTTAACGTGACACAGAAAAAAATGACATGTCACATTAAAAAAAACGTACATTTGTATACTTATAATTAGGGGCGGACTGACAACTCATGGGGCTCCCAGGCAGTAAAAGATAATGGGGCCCCTTGTGTCTCCGCCTACACTCAAGCCAAAGCCACACTCACACAACACCCTACCTACATATTGCAGCTCAGCTGCATAGAAAGGGCATTAAAAATAATTTAAAAAATAATAAAACAATGTCGTGGGGTCCCCCCTCAATTCATACCAAGCCCTTCGGTTCTGGTATGAGTTTTGAGGGGAACCCCCACACCAAAATTTAAAAAAATGGCGAAGGGTCCCCCCCCAAGATCCATACCAGACCCTTATCTGAGCATGCAGCCAGGTAGGTCAGGAAAAGGGGGGGCAAGCGAGCGCCCCCCCCCCTGAACCATACAGGCCACATGCCCCTCAACATGGGGGGATGCTGATGCAGACAAGGTCCTCTTCCCCACAACCCTAGCCTACGGTTGTGGGGGTCTGCAGGCAGGGGGCTTATCAGAATCTGGAAGCCCCCTTTAGCAAGGGGACCCCCAGATCCTGGCCCCACCCCCACGTGAAAGAGTATGGGGTACATGGTACAGCTATCCATTCACAATAAAAAGTATAGTGTGAAAAAAGACAGGAGACAGTCTTTGCCAAGTCCTTTATTAAAAGAAGAATAATAAAAATGTCCCCCCAAGTAGATCCGACATCAATCACAATGTCCAACGCTGCCACCTGAAAAAAGAAAGAATAAATAGGCGCCCCTCCCGACGCTGGCTTCCGGCCGTCTGACTACTCCGCTGGCTTGAGAGTTCTTAAATATGTAAGGAGCGGGGCCACCCAGTGACATCATGTGTGTGGCCCCACCTCTTTGTGACATCACTGACCCAGCATTCTCCTGTTCATGATGCCAGAAGGAGGTGAGGCCACATGCGTGATGTCACTGGGTGGTCCCGCCCCTTACATATTTAAGAACTGTCAAGCCAGCAGAGCAGTCAGATGGCCGGGAGCCAGCTTCGGGTGTGGAGCCTTTTTCTTTTTTCGGGTAGCAGCGGGCATCGTGATTGACATTGGATCTACTTTGGGGTACATTCTTTTATTTTTCTTCTTTTAATAAAGGACTTGTCAAAGAATTTCTCCTGTCTTTTTTCACACTACACTTTTTTTTGTGAATGGGAAGCGGTACCATGTACCCCATACTCATTCACAAGGGGGGGGGGTGGGATATTGGGGCTTCCAGATTCCGATAAGCCCCCTGCCCGCAGACCCCCACGACCACCGGCCAGGGTTGTGAGGAAGATGCCCTTGTCCCCATCAACATGGTGACAAGGTGCTTTGGGTGGGAGCCCCCTCTGCCCCTAAGCACCCCCCCATGTTGAGGGCATGTGGCCTGGTATGGTTCAGGAGGGGGGGGGCGCTCGCACGTCCCCCTCCTTTCCTGACCTCAAGGGCTGATAAGGGTCTGGTATGGATTTTGGGGGAGACCCCCACGCCATTTTTTAAAAAAATTTGGCGTGGGGGTTCCCCTAAAACCCCCTCCCCCCACTGACAGCTGAAACATTAACGCATGGTTTTCACTACTAAAATACTGCATGACTTGATAAAATAACTCATGCAGTATTTTGGTAGCATATTTTATAATAAAATGCTATGCGGTATCCTACCTCATACTCGGATGCGGTAAAATACCGCTTAGTGAATTGTGCCCACTAAGCCTCTCACCGGGCCCCCTACTGACCCCGGCCCTCGGCCGATGCCCGAATGGTCAGTCCGCCCCTGCTTATAATACTTAAAAAAAAAAATAGACAAATTTTCTGTATTTGTGACTATGCTCAGCAGCACAAACTGAAGAATAAATCTCCTCACCGGGGACAAGAACAGCAATAAAAACTTAGAGTAATAGGTCAAAGAGAGAGCCAAATGAAGAATCATTGGGGGCCCAAAGTCTTCATTGTTAATAATTGGTTCCATAAAGCTGGACAAATGGACAGTCAGCACATTTCAGGGGCTCCATGCTACTTTTACTGTGAACACCAGTGTGACGGGCGCAGCGTCAGACCCCAGCCCTTCTCACCAAACTCATGACCGAAAGACTAGCCAATCTAACACCGCGATGTCACGTGTGTAACAATACCACACCCAGATGCACCCTGCACACAGATTTTCCAGCTAATTGGACCACAATCGACATACCAGCAGCCTGAATGCGATTGTTACTGGGTCAGGTTAATTATGCAATTAACCCTTCACACTGCTACCACCTCCTTTTTGTATAGAAAAAGAGGAAACTCAGCAATACACTAGGATGATTGGTTAATCGTCGGTAAACCACTATCTCTACAGACCGGTTATACAGAGGGTTAAATACTCATAGTAGCGCTCTCTCCAGCGACAGGGATTCGTAAGTTACATTCAGGAGCTATAGAAACAGTTCAACACTTTTAGAAAGTAAAATTTATTACCGAAAGGTCGAAAGGGTGCAGTAAAAATATTTACAGAAAGAAGATGTAACCAATGTATATATATATATATATATATATATATCTATATTTATAAATATAAATATACCGAGCATAACAGCACAGCAAACAGATAACAGAAAGGAGTTTAAAGAGTTAAAGTACTTGCCAGTCAGCCTTGATTTTAAGCAGCTTCAAGTCTCACCAAAAGGATGCTTTGATCTCCCACTGTTAGTTTCGATATTAAGGCAGGGAGATCTTCTTTTCTCTTTCTCTGCGAGATGTTGCAAGCAGAAAGTCCTCACTTCTCTGACTACACACAAAACATAACAGCATCTTTTTCTACACAAAATCAACTGGGATCTTCCTACCAGGGACAAGCCAATACCTTATTTGGCAAGAGGATTATATAGACAGCTACACTGAATGCATTCCTGAGGGAGGGGGCGGAATGAGGGGATACAAAATACTTCTTATTACAGTGAGAGCCTGTGCCTGGCTCTTGTATGCATGATACTACACTCCCCCCCCCCCCCCAAGGTGAGGGCATGTGCGTTTAAGAGCAATACCAAAATGTAGAAGTTTGGGGTAAAATGGAGAACCGCACCTCTCCCTGTGGGCATGATTGTGACAAGCAGCACTAAGGCTAGGTTCACACTTATGCAGGTTGCGTTTGAGCTGTTTCTGCATTGTGTTTTGCGTTGCGTCTTGCAGTTTTGCACTTGCATTTTTGCACAAATACGCGGCAAAAACGCAATACATGCTTTTCTGCAGCATTTCCATTGAAGTGTATAGAACCAAAAACACAATTTTTTGTGTTCAAAAAAGTCCCTGACCCTTTCCAAAAAAAAGCACCGGGTGAAAACGCACAAGTGTGAACAAGTCTCATAGGAAATCATGTTAAATGGACTGTACTGCGTTTCTGCAAAATGCTGCAGAAAATGCTTAGGTGTGAACCTAGGGTAACTGTTGTTTATGATATCCTCTGCTTGCATATCAGTCTGCTTGGGAGTATTGTTGAATCTATTTAACATTCTGCCAATTCACCCAACCCCGATGAAGAGGGATAGTGTGGCCCCTTAAATACGATAAAATTGAAACAAAATCATTTTAACTTTCCTCTAATGTAATGGATAGCTGATAAAAAAAATCAATGCTACTAGAAGAATTCTGTGAAAGTTGAAAAAAAATTCCAGCCTTATGGTTAGATAGCATTGAAACTCACTGTATAAATATGTGAAAATCACCCTTGCTATACAATTTCAGTTGCATAACAGCACTAGAGGTGGTCTTCACATGTATCTTCTAATTCCATTCTGTAAAACTGATTTTTGCTTGGTAACTGGTGTGAAAAGCTCCAACTAACAAAAGGCCCAATGCAAGTTTGTTAAGGCACATACTGTATGTTTCCTTTTCACTAATTCTGTTTTAATATTAATTGGCTTATCTTTATCCATGAGTTTTGTTCTTGCAAATGCACATGATAATCATCTGCGAAATGTGTGTATTTCATGAAAAAATATGAAGCAAAATAAAAGCATGACCTTATCTATACAATCCAATGTTCCCATATACACTTGGGTCATGTGGGCTGTGGACATAATTCCTGATCCACATTTATAATCCATGATCAGCATATTTTTTTTTTCCCAAGATCTGTAGGCTGTGATTTGGTCATGGATTAGGGTAAAGGACAAGTGATCATTTAGCCTCCCTAAGCCCTTAAACTAAAACCCACCTAAAGAAAAAATCCACGTGACTGCTTATATACTTCATCAGGATGTCCCTGATTTCCTTCAATGTTAAATCAATTATTTCTTTGTGTGTGAATTTATTACTTCATGTTAGCAAATTCAGCTTTTGATAAGACAACAAATTTGATTAAACAACAAAAATGGGATAGAACCAAGCAACCCCAAAAAGTAAACATTTCAAGTTACACAATGATTCAGTTCAATTTTAATAATATATATTTTTGCTGTGGTGTGATAGTTCACAGCATTGTATGTAGCTGTTCACATTGGCTGACATCGTAAAATGACAGTTTTGCTTTCTTTTAGAAGTTCTGATGTTTGAGACAGAGGATCTAGTTCTAAGGAAAAATGAAAAAAACTTTATCCTTTGCCTGCTGGAACTGGCCCGACGAGCATCGCGCTTCGGTATGAGTGCTCCCATGCTTATTCAAATGGAGGAGCAGATAGAAGAAGAGATTCGAGAAGAACTAGAACTTCCTCCAGTTGAAATCCCACTACCTAAACCCCAACCTCAAAAAAAACTCTGTGACTTTAAGAATCTGGATCAAATGGTAAGCCAAATAAAGCCGTCAATAAACTGCATTAAAATATAAATGTACCAGTGCTTCAATGTCTGACTAGCTTTAAACCTGATTTTTCTCTTTTACTGTTAACCTCACATTAGGGTAGTACCTTTACTTTGATAATGGTCATATGGATATTTGGGAATTCACTCTGATGAATGGAATTGATCTATTTTGCATCCTCATTTTTGGTGCGAGCCACACGTGCAAACTGAAATTGTTGGAGGATTGATTGCTAACTTTTGTTAGTTTCACCACTTTTTTTTTTTTTTCTTTTGCTGACTGGTGCTCCCCACACATGGCTTGCATCACCAGAGTGTTTGCTTTTTTGTGTACTTTACTTTAAAACCAAAATAAATACCATATTTTCCAGCGTATAAGACGACTAGGCGTATAAGACGACCCCCTACTTTTCCTGTTAAAATGTAGTGTTTAGGCTATACTCGCCGTATAAGACTACCCCTCTTCCAATGCACACCAGTGGAAAGAATCGTGCCCCATCATTGGTGTCAGTTTGAGGAATAGTGTCCCATCATTGGTGTCAGTTTGAGGAATAGTGTCCCATCATTGGTGTCAGTAGGAGGAATAGTGCCCCATCATTGGTGTCAGTGGGAGGAATAATGCCCCATCATTGGTGTCAGTGGGAGGAATAGTGCCCATCATTGGTGTCAGTGGGAGGAATAGTGTCCCATCATTGGTGTCAGTGGGAGGAATAGTGTCCCATCATTGGTATTAGTGAGAGGAATAGTGCCCCATCATTGGTGTCAGTGGGGAGGAATAATGCCCCATCATTGGTGTCAGTGGGAGGAATAGTGCCCCATCATTGGTGTCAGTGGGAGGAATAGTGCCCCATCATTGGTGTCAGTGGGAGGAATAGTGTCCCATCATTGGTGTCAGTGGGAGGAATAGTGTCCCATCATTGGTATTAGTGAGAGGAATAGTGCCCCATCATTGGTATCAGTGGGAGGAATAGTGCCCCATCATTGGTATCAATGGGAGGAATAGTGCCCCATCATTGGTGTCAGTGGGAGGAATAGTGCCCCATCATTGGTATCAGTGGCAGGAATAGTGCCCCATCATTAGTATCAGTGGGGGAATTGTGCCCCATCATTGGTGTCAGTGGGAGGAATAGTGCCCCATCATTGGTGTCAGTGGGAGGAATAGTGCCCCATCATTGATGTCAGTGGGAGGAATAGTGCCCCATCATTGGTGTCAGTGGGAGGAATAGTGCCCCATCATTGGTGTCAGTGGGAGGAATAGTGCCCCATGATTGGTATCAATGGGGGAATTGTGCCCCATCATTGGTGTCAGTGGGAGGAATAGTGCCCCATCATTGGTGTCAGTGGGAGGAATAGTGCCCCATCATTGGTGTCAGTTTGAGGAATAGTGTCCCATCATTGGTGCCAGTAGGAGGAATAGTGCCCCATCATTGGTGTCAGTGGGAGGAATAGTGCCCCATCATTGGTGTCAGTGGGAGGAATAGTGCCCCATCATTGGTAGTCAGTGGGAGGAATAGTGCCCCATCATTGGTGTCAGTGGGAGGAATAGTGTCCCATCATTGGTGTCAGTGGGAGGAATAGTGTCCCATCATTAGTATTGTGAGAGGAATAGTGCCCCATCATTGGTGTCAGTGGGAGGAATAATGCCCCATCATTGGTGTCAGTGGGAGGAATAGTGCCCCATCATTGGTGTCAGTGGGAGGAATAGTGCCCCATCATTGGTGTCAGTGGGAGGAATAGTGTCCCATCATTGGTGTCAGTGTGGAGGAATAGTGTCCCATCATTGGTATTAGTGAGAGGAATAGTGCCCCATCATTGGTATCAGTGGGAGGAATAGTGCCCCATCATTGGTATCAGTGGGAGGAATAGTGCCCCATCATTGGTGTCAGTGGGAGGAATAGTGCCCCATCATTGGTATCAGTGGCAGGAATAGTGCCCCATCATTGGTATCGAGGGAAGAATAGTGCCCCATCATTGGTGTCAGTGGAAGGAATAGTGCCCCATGATTGGTATCAGTGGGGGGAATTGTGCCCCATCATTGGTGTCAGTGGGAGGAATAGTGCCCCATCATTGGTGTCAGTGGGAGGAATAGTGCCCCATCATTGGTGTCAGTTTGAGGAATAGTGTCCCATCATTGGTGTCAGTAGGAGGAATAGTGCCCCATCATTGGTGTCAGTGGGAGGAATAATGCCCCATCATTGGTGTCAGTGGGAGGAATAGTGCCCCCCATCATGGTGTCAGTGGGAGGAATAGTGCCCCATCATTGGTGTCAGTGGGAGGAATAGTGTCCCATCATTGGTGTCAGTGGGAGGAATAGTGTCCCATCATTGGTATTAGTGAGAGGAATAGTGCCCCATCATTGGTGTCAGTGGGAGGAATAATGCCCCATCATTGGTGTCAGTGGGAGGAATAGTGCCCCATCATTGGTGTCAGTGGGAGGAATAGTGCCCCATCATTGGTGTCAGTGGGAGGAATAGTGCCCCATCATTGGTGTCAGTGGGAGGAATAGTGTCCCATCATTGGTGTCAGTGGGAGGAATAGTGTCCCATCATTGGTATTAGTGAGAGGAATAGTGCCCCATCATTGGTATCAGTGGGAGGAATAGTGCCCCATCATTGGTATCAGTGGGAGGAATAGTGCCCCATCATTGGTGTCAGTGGGAGGAATAGTGCCCCATCATTGGTATCAGTGGCAGGAATAGTGCCCCATCATTAGTATCAGTGGGGGGAATTGTGCCCCATCATTGGTGTCAGTGGGAGGAATAGTGCCCCATCATTGGTGTCAGTGGGAGGAATAGTGCCCCATCATTGATGTCAGTGGGAGGAATAGTGCCCCATCATTGGTGTCAGTGGGAGGAATAGTGCCCCATTAATTGGTGTCAGTGGGAGGAATAGTGCCCCATGATTGGTATCAGTGGGGGGAATTGTGCCCCATCATTGGTGTCAGTGGGAGGAATAGTGCCCCATCATTGGTGTCAGTGGGAGGAATAGTGCCCCATCATTGGTATCAGTGGGAGGAATAGTGCCCCATCATTGGTGTCAGTGGGAGGAATAGTGTCCCAACATTGGTGTTAGTGGGAGGAATAGTATCCCATCATTGGTGTCAGTGGGGGGTGGAATAGTGCCCATCGTTGGTGTCAGTGGGGGGAGGGGAAGTGCCCCATCGTTGGTGTCAGTGGGGGGGAGGAATAGTGCCCCATCGTTGGTGTCAGTGGGGGGGAGGAAAAGTGCCCCATCGTTGGTGTCAGTGGGAGGAATAATGCCCCATTGTTGGTATCAGTGACACCAATGATGGGGCACTATTCCTACCAATGACACTTGCTGGCCCCTGTTCCAGTATGGTGCTGCTGCAGCCAGCATATGTGGTTGCAGCAGCACCTCTGGACGGCACACTTACCGTCCTGCTCCTTCACTCGATTTTCGTGGGGCCTCTCAGCTCCGCCTCCTCGCCGGTGATTGGCCACCTGTGTGCCTTTCCTGAGCTACAGTTCTGGCGGCCAATCACCGGTGAGGAGGCGGAGCCGAGCAGATGCGCGAAAAATCCAGTGGCCAAACCGAATGAAGGAGCAGCCGCGGTTCCTGGACCGGATCGTCGTGGGACCGGAGCCAGGTAAGAGACAGCAGCCCCTGCCCAGCCCTGTACTTAGTGTCCCTTCCGTTGGAAGGGGGGCGGCGGCGGCAGCGCGCCGCCCCCTAAAAAGTGTCAGTATGACGTATACCGGCGTATAAGACGACCCCCGACTTTTGAGAAGATTTTCAAGGGGTAAAAAGTCGTCTTATACGCCGGAAAATATGGTAGATATATATATATATATATATATATATATATATATATATATATTTTATTATAAATGTATGTAACACTACCCCTTTAGGAGATATTTGGGTCCCCTTATAGTCCTGCACATAGGCGGGCGGCACAGTGGCTTAGTGGTTAGCACATCTGCCTTGCACTAAATGGGCCATGGGTTTGATTCCCAACCATGGCCCCTCCTGCATGGAGTTTGCATGTTCTCCCTGTGCTTGCGTGGGTTTCCTCCCACACTCCAAAGACATGCTGGTAGGTGAATTGATTCCTGTCCAAACTGGCCCTAGTATGTGTATGTATGAATGGGGGTTAGGGACTGATATGAATGTACAATATATATATGTAAAGTGCTGCATAAATTGACAGTGCTATAAAAGTACCTGAAATAATAAATAATAGGCTTGCATCAAGAGTCAGAAATTAGTCCTTGAGCTTTTGTTTTGTTATTTTTATTTAGGGGATTTGAACTAGGATAGAGTTAGGGGTGTAGAGGATGCCCAAGGGAACTGAAGACAATTTCCTGGAACTATTCACAAGCCTTCTCTGCAGCACACTTTTGTTGAAGAGCTAGCCAGATTCTCCCAATGTACCACCCCAGCGATCTGGAGGTATTCCTGTCCCTGTGATCCGGTTCCTGTCACTTTAAGTGCTGGACAGTCCCAAGTAGGCAGCAAATCTGGTTTCCCACCAGAGTGCTCCTTCCCCTATCTGCAGAAGGGGTGCGGGGATACTCACTCAAATCCTCTCCTGTACCGCTGGTGGGTTGGTGGCTGCTACCAGGCCTATCAGTTGGACCGCTCCTTCCCTGCTATACAGGTGGTCCTTGCTCTGGGGGCCAGTCAATCTCTGAGCTTTCTTTCTTTTCAGCTCCAAGCCTTCAGGTAGGCTCCATCCCACTGAGCCTCTTCGCAGTCTCTTGCTTTCAGCCTCTTATCTTCCTCACTGTCTTCCACCCAAACTCTCCTGCAACTGAGCAGGTTCACTTACGTTTAAGGGTTGTCCTAGCCCCTTGCCAAGCCTCCTGTTGGGGATTAGCTAGGATCCCTCAAGTGTACAAGCCAGCCACTCCTCAGATCCAGCCATTGCCTAGAGACCTTTGTTTAAAGCTCTAGAGCAGGGGGAAATTCCAGAGGGGCTGGCCTGCAGAGCCGCACAGCTTCTGACCAAAATATGACCTTCTGA